AATTATTAATTTCAAATGCCCCGCCGGGGCTAAGGTTCGAGTGGAAATGCCCAACCCCCGGAATGTGCTTCACAGGAAAATGGCTGGGCGAGGGGGATGGGCACACTTGGATTTGGCTGATGCATTAAAAGTCATGGAAAAAGAAAAGGCTTTTCATATTGCTACTATAAAATGGCTTATTGTGCTTATTCCTGGGCTTATTCCAGACTGCATGTCAAATATTTACTTGCTAGAAGTAGAAATTTACTCTGACCACTGCAAGAAGACATTAAATAAGTACTGGTCAATAAACAGAAATGTATTTTATTTCATAGTATTACAATTTTATTTTTATACTATAAAAATAAAATATAAACATACAGCATAGAATATGCAAATTCGAGGCAAAATTATTGTTGAATCGGTTTATTTATAGGATTTTTATATAACAAATAGCAACTATAAAAGTTTATACCTTGTCTTCACATCGCTTTATTCTGTTTGCCAATGCTTTTAAATTTATATATTTTAGAATCAGTTCCTTTCCTGGTAACTGCATTTCTAAATGAAATCATCGTGAGTAGTGAGTGCTGAGCAGGCCGTTTTACTATAAACAAATTTTCGGAATTGATAACAACTTTGAAAAATATATCGTTGCACATTCGGTCACAGTCGGAAAAATGTTCATCGTTAGTTGCAAGCGACGGTACAACATTGAACAGTCGCTCATAAAAACATTCGCGTGATTAGAATCTTCAATGTTTGTCAAGAACAACAACACTTATAATTGTTGTTTCCCATGTGTACAATAATAAGTAACAAAACTTTGTGTGGTCTGAACGTGTTGGGCTAGAGACCTACTGGAAACCTTTACAGGCTTTTTAATGAGAATAGAGAATGTTTTATCTGCAACTGTTCACCCTTAGTTGCAACCGACGGTATTTGACAGCATAAAATTGCCTGTGGCTGTGATAACTGATATAAATAAAATACAGTCTGGTTATACTGACTTGAGCGTGTCATGACAAACTCTTTATTGGAAAATTGTGAAGATATAGTCGAATATAGAGGGTCGAATATCATACTTCAACTTGTCACTTGTATAGCTACAGTATCATTGGTACATAGCGTTGTGAATACAAGCCTTTGCTTACACCTTTCGCTTCAGCAGTCTTTTTTTTCCATGCTTCTCTACGCTTTCCCAGGCGAGCTTCTCTTTCCTCAGCAAATACCTTTCGCTTCAGCAGTCTTTTTTTTCCATGCTTCTCTACGCTTTCCCAGGCGAGCTTCTCTTTCCTCAGCAGTCTCCTCGAGCAAACGTTGTCGTCTTCGCTCCCTCCTTTTCGCTAGACGTTCGGCTTTCTTGTCGTTTCCTTGCCGCTCTTCATTTAGCTCCATATCTTGACTATCTTTTCAATTGGTATTTGATACCGTAATTGTTTTATTAAACTTTTTATAGAACAAATTGCTTTGAAAGCTGTCAAAGTTTGCAAACGTACAAAATACCTCGCAAAATACTGTAGTGCAAAAAGCAAATTATTTTCATGAAGTATCTGTCAGTTGAAGTCGTCATTTCTCATACAACAACAAATTTTAAATTTGACCAATCAGTGTTCGCTATCCATGACAGTCTCAGCAACAGTGGAATTTAATCATTGGGCTCTGCCAGACTGCCACAATAGGTTAGTTTTTGCCTCAATAGGCTCTACCACAATGGGCAGATCAATGACAATGTTATTTTGTGCCTCAATGGGCTCTACAACAATGGGCAAGATCAATAGTTTTTGCCTCAATAGGCTCTACCACAATGGGCATGCAGATCAATGACAATGTTACTTTGTGCCTCAATGGGCTCTAGCTACCACAATGGGCAGATCGCTTTTCTTTTGTGCCTCAATGGGCTCTACCACAATGGGTAAATGCAGATCAATGACAATGTTACTTTGTGCCTCAATGGGCTCTAGCTACCACAATGGGCAGATCGCTTTTCTTTTGTGCCTCAATGGGCTCTACCACAATGGGTAAATCAATGTTACTTTCCACTACAATGAGCAGATTAATGTTACTTTGTGCACTATTTGTTTGTGACATCAGATCAATCTCATACAAAAACATGTTCTACATGTTATTGTCGCCTTGTCTTGTTCTCGAGCACATGGAAGAAAACATGAGTGCGCAATAGAAAAACTTTCTCGACCTCCCCCCTCAAAATAATTAAGGTACTGAAGCTTAATTATTTCCCCGGAAATTCGAAATCCCGACAGACACAAGATCGAGATTTCGACAATACATAGGTCGCGCGAAAGACTGGGTCGAGTAGACTCTGGAGAAACCACCACGTGTTAAGAATAGTGTGCTGCCTCGTTACGCTCGGCAGCAATTACCGTCGCTTGCAACTAACTATTAACGGTCGCTGAAAAAAACATTGTCTATATTCGCGTGTCTCTGCTGGGGTCTACACCCTAGGCAAATTCGTGTGAGAGTCTTAAGTTTTCTTATTTTGACATAATAGCTATTTTGCAATAAATATAGTGATACTAAATTTATTGTATCGATATTTTATGTTTTACGCCAGTTGTACCAAAGGTTATAAGCGCTATAGCGCATCATAAGCATAGATATCTTATATAAGATATCTATGATCATAAGTTTCAGATGGCATGCAACATGCACGCAGTGCGTACCTATTTTTTATGCGTTATTGTCAATAATGCACTCGCAGAATTCGTTGTTGCCAAGTAACAAAAACACACGTGATCGATTTTGACCAATGGCGTGCGTGTATTTTGTACAGTGAACGAAGATTATATATTAATATAAGTTCTCCGATAACAAGTTCTAACAGCAGATGGAATAAAACGTCTTCTAAAACGTTTGCTTAGATGGATATCTGGTATTATAGATATGTTCGTCACTAGTATACCGAAATAAACTGTCAAATATGCGTGGTAGTTGGCCTTTGTGCCATAGTTAAGTGGATTGTGAGGCGCGGAGTCGATAAAGATTATCAACAATGAGAATCTCCAAAATATTTAAATATGGAAAAGCACTCTTGGTGAGAGGTCCATTTGTTATAGCAAAGAACATAATCGTCATAACTTGGTTTTGCTTTGTTTGTAACTTTTTAGGTTGGACTTACAGGTACTTCCCCAAGCAGTAATGGCGTAAGATATATGAGGGCATATGATATTATAATAGAGTTGTTTAAGCTGAGTAATTGATAAGTAATGTCTTAATTTTGAGAAAATACCAATACCACGAGATACACGAGAACAAATATATGGAATATGGTATTTCCAAGATATGGTATCATCAATCACAATCCCTAAATATTAAATATGATCTTTTCCTTCTAAAGAAACACGCAAACCATCGATGTTTGCATGTCCTCTTTCCTAGCTGATTTAACAATATATGTCGTAAAAATGTGAATTTTCAGGCCTTTGTATTAAAATATTCTTGAATCGTGTGGCATAATATATGCTAATTTATGTAGTATATTCAGGTTTGATGCCTTGGGCATGATCTATGCCAAATTTTTTGCATAATAACATTAGTAAATAGGAATTTCCGAAAGACATACATTAGATGAGTAACATTTTACCTATAATAAAATTGTTGAAAGTAAAATAATCTGGTCGTTTGTTATAAAAATAATGAGTGAATCATTTGGTGTGTCAAAAGCTACATTAGAAAAGCGATTACCACAACAACCAGTGAATCTAACCATAAAGTACAGGTGCATATGAGAACGATTCCTCTGTGGATAAATTTAAAAGCAAATGGAAAGAGAATTAAGGTAAATGCAGTACTTGATGATGTTTCGAACGAAACCTTCCTAAACGAAGAAGTCGCTTGATTTCTTGGATTAAGCGGTAAATGGCAAGATGTGCAAGTCCATATGTTGAATAATGCATTGGAGACCTCTAAATCCATACCTTTGCAAGTGTAGATCGATTGAGAGCACAGATTGTCAGTTTTCGAAAGAAATTAATGTTATAACTTGCCGACATGAAGTTACTGGGAACTACCGTGTAGTAGATTGGAACCAATACCAGAAGGATTGGCCACACTTACGTCCGTGCAACTTCCCAACGCCAGCGAAAAAGACATTCGTTGACCTGTTAATTGGAGTGGATAATCCAGAGTTACACTTTTCCGTAGTTGATTTTCAAGGATCGAAAGGAGAGCCAGTGGTACGACGGGGGACCACTCGGGTGGACCTGTATAAGACCCCCAGAGAAGAATGGAAAATCAATTGTGAGATCGCATGTGATGAGAACACTTTGCACGAAACAAGCAAGAAACTTTCTCAATCTCGACTACTGTATCCTGGACGAAACATTAAGAAATTTTTGGGAGATTAAACGTGGAGGAACCGAGGTGAATACAAAAATACTAACACAAGAGGAGAAGTGAGCCCTTAGTAAAGTTGGAGAATCGTTGCAGATTGCTGATGGAAGATATCAAGACCGGCCGTTGGTGAAGAGTACCAGAGCACTATCGAAGCATACATGAAGAAAGGCTACCTCCGAAAGATTGATCCAACCAAAAACCTGCCTGCAGTTTGGTACTTGCCTCATTTTCCCATCATCAGAATGGATAAGTTGTTGATTTCAAACCGAAGGACAAAGGGACCATATAATTAGTTACGCATGAGTGACACTTTGTGAGTCTTGTGATGTGTTGTAAATTAACAGTATTTAAGCTAGGTGCTCATAACCTTTCAGCTATCTGTATATTGTCTTGCCGCTGTGTTTATGTCAATGTTCTGATTTTCTAGCGGACAGAAAACTAAATCTGTAAGTCGTCCTATATTTTTTACATGCATATAGACTATATAGTTGTACTCTATTTGTTAGTTGCTTATCTTAGTAATAATTTTATTGTAATGTTTGTTGTAGTTGAGCCGTCAAAGGAATAAAATATATGTCGCGTTCAAATTAAAGTTCGGTTACGATTGAGTCTATATTTGTTCAAAGATTTAAATCAACTATAATCTACGTTATAAGCAAGTCGTCATGTCTGTGGCATCCGAAGGCGAGGAAATTCCCGAACAAAACGACAATCTACCGCAACAACAAGATGTGCAAAGCTTAAGGCGAAGTCGGTCAGCCGCGAAGGCGAACATTACAAAGAAAATCAAGGAGCTTACCGAATGGAAAATGGTTTGTGAGAATATTACAGAAGCCCGAGTCAAAGCTAATGAATTTACTGACGTGGTGGCGAAGTTTGATGCCGCCCATTCGAAATATCACTTTGCGATAGACGACGAATATGATAAAATCGATTCGGAAGCGTATTTAGAGACAGAAAGGAAACGAATTGACAATTTTACACGTACACTGGAAGACTGGATTAGAAGTTTGGAAAGTAGATCTAAAGAACCCGAAGTAAGGTCAAGCGAATCAGTCAGCAATATGGGAAAAGCTTCCCATGCTAAAACAAGGAGTTCGATTGCAAGTTCGCGTTCAAAATCTGGCCAGTCTTCAACCGTTAGTGCCCGATTGGCTGTCAGAGCAAGAAAGGCTGCGTTGGAAGCCGAGAAGGCAGAATTAGCTAAACAACAAGCTTTAGAGCAAGAAAGACTGCAACTTGAACAGCGAAAGTACGAACTAAAACTCAACACCGAACTTGCGAAAGCCGAAGCTGAAAAACGAGTATATAGTGAGGCGGTTTATGATGAAACTCAAGCAACGTCTGCGCAAGACAAGTTAAGTAATAAAACCGAAACGAAGCTAGAAGAGCAATATCACAATAAAAGCCTTAAATCACCAAAGGTTGGAGCGACTATGCCCACTGAAGCTGATTTCAAGTCCAATACGACGTCTCGTTATGCAAGAAAGAATTTGGTTCCAAGCGACAAAGGGAAGGAGAGTGATACGAGCTCCGTTATTGCAGAAGACTTTTTGCGCAGTGTGACAAATATGCAGCAACAACAACAGCATCAGATGTTCGATATTCAAGAATCCCGAGATCAACATTTACAGCAATTGCTAAGTCACCATCAACAAATGACCTTGTCAATGTCCCTGCCCGAAGTGCAAGTTCCAACATTCACTGGCGACCCGATTGAATATTGTCATTTTCTGCGATTTTTCGAAAATTTAATTGAAGCAAAGACAACAAGTCACAATGCAAAGCTGTTCTACTTGGTCCAGTACACGGCGGGAGAAGTTCAAGAGCTGATGCGTAGCTGCCTAATGATGCGGCCTGAGGAAGGGTACAACGCAGCGAAGAGACTTCTAAAGGAGAAGTACGGTCAAAACTATAAAATCGCAACAGCTTATGTGAACCGAGTTACCCAAGTGGCACCAATCAAGGCAGAAGATGGCATCGCACTTCAAAACTTTTCCGTGTTACTTGCAAGTTGCAGAAACACTTTGAAAGAAATTGGATACCTGAATAAAGTTGAGAATCCAGATTGCCTGGTCAAAATAATCGAAAAACTTCCCTATTCCCTGAGACAGAAATGGAGAGATGTTGCTGATAATATTACAAACAATAAGTCGAGAGAGATAATCTTCGACGATATGTTGTCAGATTCGTTGATGCGCGGGCTAGAGTTTTGAATCACCCAATCTTCGGAAGACTGAGCGTGATACTCGAAGCAAACCCAAAGACTTTGCTGGGACGAAGAATAGACTTAACTTCGGGATCGACGGTCAGCGCACTGATGATGAAGGTGGTCGCAAGGTGGAAGTCAAAAGTTACAAGTGTTCAATGTGTAACGGCAATCATATCCTGCCACGGTGTAATCATTTCCAGAAAGAGTCTCTTGAAGGTCGACTCAAGTTTGTTCGTAAACGAGGACTATGTTACAACTGTTTGTTTCAAAGTCATATTGCTACATCATGTCCTAAGAATAGTTTCTGCAAAGTGAACGGCTGCCAATTAAAGCATTCTACATATCTGCATTCTAAAAGCAACCCTCGTGTCGCTGAGAAGTCGTCTGGTCCTGATGTCCCAAATAATCCTGACAATTGCGCGAATTACGACTCGCGTGTCAACAACAACGGTTGTGTGAATGCCACCAAGGCTGGAAATAATGTCAACGGGGCCGGTGTAACGGCGACTGGGTTACCATTAGTACCCGTTAAAGTAAGATGCTCTGGTTCATCTCGAGTCATTACAACGTACGCGTTCTTGGACTCAGGGTCTAACACGACATTCTGTACGGATGAATTGTTGAATCAACTTCGCGTTCAAGAAAAAAAGACAACTCTGTCATTAACAACCCTACAGCACGAGGATTGTACAGCCAACTGCAGCATGATTAGTTTGGAAGTCTTCAACCTGGATGATGATAACATGGTTGAACTCCCTATGGTGTTTTCTACTGAAAGTTTACCTATCAGTGAATCCAGCATTCCTCGGCAAGAAGACGTCGACAGATGGCCTTATCTTAAAGATGTGACGCTGCAGAGAATTGACGCTCCAATTCGTCTTCTGATTGGAAATAATGTACTCAAGGCACTCGAACCAAAGGAAGTAAAAGAGTGCAATGGAAAGGTACCGTATGCTGTAAGAACAATTTTTGGCTAGACGGTTAATGGCCCACTCGGAAGAAACGAAACCGTGCATCATTGTGCAAACTTGATTCGATCCGACCATGGGCTCAATGAACAGTTTCGAAAATTTTGTGATATGGAGTTCAACGACTCAGTATTTGACAGCCAATTGGAAATGTCGGTGGAGGATTGTCGTGCGCTTGGAGTGATGGAAGGCTCGGTACAATTAAAAGACGGACATTATGAAATAGCATTACCATGGAGACATTTCCCTCCTTGCTTACCCAACAACCGTCCGTTAGCAGAGCATCGCTTGAACCTTCTGAAGAAAAGGCTTCTCAAAAACTCAGATCTTTATTCAAAATATTCAGAATTCATGGATAACTTGCTAACCAAGGGCTATGCTCGTAAGGTCTCCGATAGTTCAACTGACCCACCTCAGCAGCCTTTGTGGTATCTACCGCATCATCCAGTAATCAATCCCAATAAACCTGATAAGGTTCGTGTCGTTTTCGACTGTGCAGCAGTGTTCCATGGGACGTCATTTAACCTCCAATTGCTGCAGGGTCCAGATTTAACGAATACTCTAGTCGGAGTTTTAATTCGTTTCAGAGAAAATCCTGTGGCGCTGATGGCCGATGTCGAGTCAATGTTCCACCAAGTGCGAGTTACTTCTAACGATTATGACGCATTGCGCTTCTTCTGGTGGTCTCAAAACGATCTCAACGTAGAACCCGAGGAATTCCAGATGTTGTTTCATTTTTTTGGTGCCACATCCTCCCCCACCTGTGCAAATTTTGCACTGCGAAGAACTGCAGATGACAACCTGAGCGACTTTGATATTACGGTATTGGACACGGTCAATAGAAACTTTTACGTTGACGACTGCCTAAAGTCTGTTCGCGATGAAGACGAAGGTGTTTCGTTAGCTAATGGCCTTACGACATTGCTGGCTCGTGGGGGATTTCATCTGACAAAGTGGATCTCAAACTCAGCTCGAGTGATTCAGTTAGTGCCTGAAGAAGAAAGATCTGGTTCTGTCAAAGATTTGAATTTCGACCAACCAACAATACAACGAAAAGAGAAACTAGCAACACGACGAGGGTTACTTTCAATTGTGAGTTCAGTATATAACCCCCTTGGGTTCGTTGCACCATTCATACTACCAGCAAAGATACTAATGCAAGAGCTATGTAGGAGAAAGTTGAGCTGGGATGACCTGATTGAAGCCGATCACGTTAAACGCCGGAACACTTGGCTAAGAGAATTACCGAGAATTGAGCAGCTTCGGGTTCCAAGATGCATTAAACCTACGAATTTGCCAGAAATCGTTTCAACGCAGTTACACGCGTTTGCAGATGCCTCACAGCGTGGCTACGGTGCAATTACTTACATTCGGTTTGAAGATATTGGTGGCAACGTCCATTGTTCATTTGTGATGGCTAAGTCAAAAGTGGCTCCTCTAAAGGAAACAAAATTCCACGACTGGAATTGTCAGCTGCTGTTGTAGCCTCGAAGCTTGACAAGATGGTACGACATGAAAGCGATATTCGAATCGACGCCTCTCAGTTTTGGACCGACAGTACGTGTGTTCTGGGTTATCTGAAGAACGAGAACAAGAGATTCCAGACGTTCGTTGCTAATAGAATTGCCACCATTCTTGAAGCGAGTTTACCGATTCAGTGGAGATATGTTACCAGTGAGCAAAATCCTGCAGACGACGCTTCATGGGGGCTAACTGCTGACGCGTTGCTAAATAAGCTTCGATGGATAAATGGTCCTGAATTTTTATGGAAATCCGAGAATTACTGGCCGAGTAAACCTACCATAACTCCCATAATTCGCGATGACGATCCAGAAGTGAAGTTAACAACGCAAGTTTTTTCACTTACGAACAGTTCACAAGTTACGACTGATGGAATTATCGAGAGATTCTCGTCATGGGATTAGCTGAAGAGATTTGTGGCATGGATACTTGGTTATCGTACAAACTTACGTAAAGCCGCTGCTGATACAGCTAAGATGACTAACATCGCAACAAGAAGTCCAAACTCAGAAATTAAATCGCTTACTGTGGACGATATGCTGGTTGCAGAAAGGGAGATTGTGAAATACGTTCAGGGCAGAAGTTTTCAAAATGAATTGGCTCGTCTCAATGGTGTTAACGCGCAGAACAACAAAGCAACAAGGTCTTTAGATGGCCCAGTCAGGAAGACAAGTCCCATCTACAAACTCGATCAGCAAGTAAGGAATCAACTTCTATGTGTCGGTGGACGTTTGGCGAATGCTCCTATCTCAGACGAAAGCAAACACCCATTAATCATCCCGAAGAACAGTCCAATTTCGAAACTGATTTCAAGACATTACCATCAGTTGGCAGGACATAGTGGTCTGGAACACGACCTTTGAAAGTATGTTCTTGCTACACAAGGAGAAAGCTGATCGACAGATAACTGATCTTGTAAACAAAGTAAAAAATTTAACTGCTACAGTTATGCTACAGAGCCAACAATTGCAAGAAATGAGAATGAGCATTAATGCCCATAGAAAAAGTAATGCAACTGAATTACAAGAAAAGGGTATCCCAAGTCAAGGCAAACCTCCTGCTACCCATGACCAAATTCTGTGTAGGAGTTTCGGCACTCAGACGACAGCAGTAGAAGATCAAACAGTTAAACGGCCTGGGAAAAATCCTCCACCCAGGGACTTTGTCAACCAGCTCAAGAGCTACAAGGTGACCCAAAGAGACAAGTTCGAAAGCCTAAAACCTCGACATGACGAAAGAAAAACCCGAAAAGCAACGAAACCAAAAAATTCTCATCATGAGCAAGGCAAAAATCGTAAATCAATGAAGCCAAAGATTCCTATACAAGCTGAAAACAACAAGATTAGTGAGCTGGAACGAACAATCAAGAATATTGAACAGGAAAATGAGTCTCTCAAAACAATTATGCAAATCCAAAAAGATGAGTTCAATCAAGCACTCCGTGAAAAAGAAGACAAGGAAAATCATCGCCCATGGCAAATTTTCAAGCCAAAACAGACCATCGACTTGAAAGGCAAGCAAAACAAAAGAAAACGCGAATGGACAAACCAAAATCCAATTCATATATCAACTTCAAATCAATATGAAAGCCTTGAAAGCAAAGAAATCCAAGAGAACGGGACAAAAACCGACAAGCCAACAAATGTAGAAAACAAGGATAAACTTAAAAATACTGTAGAGAATTCCAAATCGACGCATCCACCGAAAAAGCAAGGGAGTACAGTCATAATCGGCGATTCTCTACTCAAAGGTCTTCGCCAGCATTCAACATCAAAAGCGGTTAAGACAAAAACGACAGTTAAATGCTTTCCAGGAGCGAAAGTCGATGATTTGAATGACTATTGTATTCCAGTTTTGGCAACAAAGCCTAAACATGCTATCATACACTGTGGAACAAACGATCTTCGTACTAAAAACCCGCAAGAAATAACGAAGCAGATGGGGGCTTTATGTGATTTTATAGTGCGAAAATGTCCTGATATACATATCACGGTATCATCTTTGATCACTAGAAATGATGACCAAGACAAAAAAGTCACCAAGGTAAATACGCAACTTCAATCACTATGCTTACAGAAGGGTCTTAGCTTTCTACTCCATGACAATTTAGACAAGAAATGTAAAAGGTAAAACCCTCTCTGAAAAAAAGTAAGGTAAAACCCTAGGTAAAACCCTCTCTGAAAAACTCCAAAAACTGCAAAACAGAGCCGGTAGGATAATAACCTTCTCCGATTATGACGTAAGATCAGCTGATATACTACACAGTCTTGGTTGGAAAACTCTTGACCAACGTCGTGATAAACAGCTCGCAACAAGTATTTACAAAGCAGTGAATAATTTACATCCCAACGAGCTTAATACTATTTTTGAACCTACCTCGCAAGTCCACTCTCACAATCTTAGAGGTAGTTCGCACAGTATGTTCACCCAGGTGCTTATTTTATGTTCAACCAGGTGCTTATTTTATAAAAGGAGCTTCGGCTACCGTGGGGCTGTGTTATGGAACGATCTTCCGGATGAAATAAGAAGTCAGGCTTCAATATATCTTTTCAAAAATAAACTTTCTAACTTTCAAATTTAATACTAAGATTAAGTAGTTGTAAATATGTTAGGATTATATATATATATATATATATATATATATATATATATATATATATATATATATATATATATATATATATATATATATATTCTCATTTCTTTTGTTTTTTTGTATTTTTACATGGCTCCTTGCAAGAGCACTTTAGTGAAAGGACACCATGTTATATATATATATATATATATATATATATATATATATATAGCTCATTTCTTTTGTTTTTTTGTATTTTTACATGGCTCCTTGCAAGAGCACTTTAGTGAAAGGACACCATGTTACCTATTTATGTATTTTTTTAATAATAAAGCTTCATTGAAGAAATGTCTAAATCAATCAGGACTTCACCTAAACAAATTTGGAGACTCTATTTTAGCCAAAAAAATTATTGAAACAATAAAACGTTTTTAACCTAGAGCCTGAGTATATTCCGACCTGCAGCACACCAGTAATCAATTTGACCACTGCGAGCATGCCTGAAAATCCGTGTGTTTATGGTAATGAGTTAATGTCAAATGAAGCAAACTTAAGCAAAAATAAACTGGATATTCTAAAAGGCTTCAGAATTGCTCATTTAAACATAACCTCTTTACCTAAATACATTGATCAATTAAGAACTTATCTGGTCAACAAACCAGTTTATATATTCACAATTAATGAGACCAGGTTAGATGAGTCTATCAATGATGTAGAGGTTAATATCAAAGGATATAACCTCTATAGAAAAGATAGATGTAGATATGGTGGCGGTGTAGCTATTTACACTAGGGATGTTCTGAATGTGAGGGAAATGTCTCCGTTTGTCCCGGAAAACATCGAAGCTGTTTGTCTAGAAATCACCAAACCTAAATCTAAACCAATGTTACTCACTACTGTTTACCGACCTCCAAGTTCTAATGCTAGTTTTATGGATGATTTGGAAAACTATTTTCACATATTAGATGAACAAGACAAAGAACTAATTCTCACAGGGGATTTAAACTGTGACCTCTTTCTCCCAGTCTTGCAAAGCCATTCACGTAGACTTATGGACATCCTTGAACTATTTCAAATTAATCAAGTGATAACAGCTGCCACACGTATAACGGGTAACACTGAATCATTACTTGACATAATTGCTACAAATCGTCCTGATAAAGTAAAGGAAAGTGGCGTATTTCATTTAGGTATTAGTTATCACAGTCTTGTACATATGTGCCTAAAAATATCGTTACCTCGCGAAAAACCCAAGATTGTAGAAAGTAGAAATTTAAAAAACTATAATATTAATGATTTCAATAACCACATTTCTCATTTATTGAGTAACGCAGATTGGAATCATAAAGATCCAGATCAATCATGGGATCAATTCAAAACCATATTCAACTACGTATCAGATATTTATGCTCCAGTTAAAACTAGAAAAGTTAGAAGCACTTATGCTCCATGGCTAACTACTGAGATTAGGTGTGAGATGAATAAGCGTGATTACTTAAAAAGAGAGCAGTCAAAATAATTCCAAGAGCCTTCGTCGAGTTTATCAGGCAAAGCGAAATGAAGTAAACAAATTAATTAGATCTGCAAAATTTCGATATTGTAAGGATAATATTGATCTAAATAAACACAATCCTAAAGAGATGTGGAAAAATATTAATCAGGTCATCAGTGGAAAGGGTCGGTATTCTAAAACCACCACCATATCCGCAATTAAAGATGATCTGGGCAATACTATCCATGATGAAAAGTTAATAGCTGACCAACTCAATAAATACTTTGTTGAAATTAGTCCAAAATTATCAAATAAATTGCCTGCCAGTCCTAAAGTTTTTTCGGAATACCTGGATCTAGTAGATTGTGAATTCCAATTCCTTATGATAAATGATGACACTGTTTATAAGAAAATAATGAAACTCAAACCTAATAAGGGAGCTGGTCCAGACAAAATTCCTCCAAAACTAATAAAGGATTCTGCAGTCGTTATCACACCCTGTTTGAACCTCATTTTTAATCTATCCCTATCAGAAGGGAAATTTCCTGATGACTGGAAGAAGGCTAGAGTTTCCCCAATTTTCAAATCTGGGAATCGAGAAGAATGCGGCAATTACAGACCTATAAGTATTTTATCCGCCATTTCGAAAATTTTCGAAAAAATTGTATTTGACCAGCTAAGTCAGTATCTTATAACAAATAAGATTTTAACCGACTATCAGTCAGGTTTCAAAATTAAAAGGATATTCTACTTGTTCTTCCTTATTAAGAACAACTAATGAATGGTTAGTTAACATGAATAAAGGCTTGATAAATGGCGTTGTTTTTCTAGATCTAAGAAAGGCTTTTGATACAGTTGATCACAATATATTGATTAAAAAACTAGAACTTTATGGCCTCAAAAATAATGCCCTTCGCTGGTTCATCTCATATCTAAGTCACAGGAAACAAATTTGTAAAGTAGGGATGTCTGTTTCAAATGGTAAAAACATCACAACAGGCGTGCCGCAGGGGTCAAATCTAGGTCCTTTTCTCTTTTTACTCTATATAAATGATCTGCCGAATTGCCTTGATTCTTCAATACCAGCACTTTTTGCTGATGATACCAATCTTACTACCAGTGGTTCTACCGCAAGTGAGATTCAAGATAATTTAGAAATTGAATTAAATAAAGTTCACATGTGGCCTTTAGCCAACAAGTTAACTTTGAACCTTGATAAAACTGAGTATATGCTAATTGGATCAAGACAAAGGTTGTCCCAAGTTAGTTCTGACCCAGTCCTAACGATGGGCTCTGAGGGCATCAAACGTGTTTTATCCACCAAAACGCTTGGTGTAGTGGTTGATGAATGCATCACCTGGAAAGATCATATTGATAAAGTGGCCAAAAAAGCTGCAAAAGGGGTAGGAATATTACGGAGGTCTAAACATTTATTTGACAAAGATACTCTTAAAACCGTTTACAGCGCTTTTGTTTTACCTCATTTTGATTATTGCTCATTGGTATGGAACAACTGTTCCAAAACCCTGCAAAATAAATTGCAAAAACTCAAAAATAAAGCCGGCCGAATAATCACAGGTGATTGCTACGAAACTGCCTCAGAAATTGTCAGAACTAAACTTTCGTGGGACACTTTAGAGGCAAGGAGAGAGAAACAATTAGAAACTTTAATGATACAAATAATGAAAGGTAATTCAACTGATTACTTCCGCAAGTTCTTCACAATGTGTACGAATCAAACGTATGAATTAAGAAGTAACAATCATGTTCTCCACTTGCCCAAACCTAACACCAACGCGTAGTTTTAGTTATAAGGGGGCTGCAGCTTGGAACAATATCGATGACAAAAGTAAATTTTAACCGCATGTTTTAATATTTTTACATTTTTTACATACATAAATAATTACCAGTACATATTTTATATTTATGATATCTTAAATTAATTTTGACACATGGCCATCTGAAAATCAACCTTTTTAGTTTTGCCTGTATATTTTCAACATATTTTGTAATTATAATTATTTTTGAACTTTGGTTGAGATGCTACCGTGTATAAATATTGGTAAATAAAATAAAAATCATTAATAAGAGAACGTTTTTGGATAATTGGAGCACGAAATACTCTGAAAGAAATCCTGAGACGTTGCGTAGATTGCAGAAAAAGACAAGCAGCTGTTGGTGAACAAAAAATGGCAGATCTCCCAGAGCATCGTGTTACGCCAGACAAAGCGCCATTTACATTTGTGGGAGTGGACTGTTTCGGACCATTTCTCATAAAAAGAGCTCGAAGTCTTGTAAAGAGATATGGAGTTTTATTTACGTGTTTGGCCATACGTGCTGTTCATATTGAAGTGGTTCAAAGCCTTGATACAAGTTCGTTTCTTCATGCCCTTCGCAGATTCATTGCCAGGAGGGGTCAATCGCAGGTGATCAGATCCGACAACGGAAGTAATTTTGTTAGTTGTGAGAAAGAAATTCGCACAGCAATTGAAAGTTGGAACCAAGAGAAAATCCACCAATTCCTCCTGCAACAAAACGTCAAATGGATTTTTAACCCTCCCTTAGGATCCCATCATGGTGGAGTTTGGGAGCGCTGTATCAGGACAGTTCGCAAAATCATAATGGCACTTCTAAAACAGCAGTTCGTGGACGATGAATGCCTGACAACTATCATGTGTGAAGTGGAGTCTATAATGAACAGTAGACCGTTGACGAAAGTATCTGATGATCCGAATGACTTGAAAGCTTTGACCCCAAATCATTTGCTTCTGCTGCGGCCAGGACCAACACTACCTCCCGGAATCTTCAGCGACAACGACTTATATTGCAGACGTCGATGGAGACAGGTTCAATACCTATCTGATGTTTTCTGGCGCCGCTGGTTGAAAGAGTATCTGCCCGAACTACAACGGAGACAAAAATGGATGAATCCTCGACAAAATTTCACTCCAGGAGATATCATGTTAATAGTCGATGAAACCTCACCAAGATCATTATGGCCGCTTGGACGTATAGTGAGAGTAAAACTCAATTCCAAGGATGGTTATGCGCGAAGAGTCGTTCTAAAGACAAAATCTACAGTCCTTGAACGTCCAGTGGACAAAATCGTGCTGTTAGAAGCCTTAAATTGAACATGTAACATATCGCTTTATGATAACGGTTTAAAATCTATAATTTAACATAACGTAAATGTTTTCTACGAAACATATCGGGGCCGGCATGTTGATTTCAAACCGAAGGACAAAGAAACAATATAATTAGTTACGCATGAGTGACACTTTGTGAGTTTTGTGATGTGTTGTTTATGTTTTACGTAAATTAACAGTATTTAAGCTAGGTGCTCATAACCTTTCAGCTATCTGTATATTGTCTTGCCGCTGTGTTTATGTCAATGTTCTGATTTTCTAGCGGACAGAAAACTAAATCTGTAAGTCGTCTTATATTTTGTACATGTATATAGACTATATAGTTGTACTCTATTTGTTAGTTGCTTATCTTAGTAATAATTTTATTGTAATGTTTGTTGTAGTTGAGCCGTCAAAGGAATAAAATATATGTCGCGTTCAAATTAAAGTTTGGTTACGATTGAGTCTACATAAGTTTACAACCAAAAGTTCGCATAGTTTTAGTTCGCTTGACCACTGACATTGGATGCTTGCAAAATATTTAAGTTATTTTGGTTTAATACCAAGAGATCGACCTTGATCTTGGCCCTAGCTGTTACGTAGTTTCAAGTGCTCTAAATTTCCTCCGTGAACAGGTGCGCCAGGGATTAACATTAAATGTAATTAAATTGTTACTCACTTATCTAATTGGTTCAGGTGTGACATAAAAACCCATATTTCGTGGAACATATTTTTATTTATCTCTCCACCTTCCTTTCGAGTTAGTGAGGATCAAACAGCGTTGCATTAACCGAGCTTGGTTTACTGGCATGCAGGCACAATGTTTTGACGACAGTTTTATGGGAAAAATTTTGGCTATGAATATAGTTCATAGCCGCTTTATTGAAAATATTTAATAAAATAACATATTTTCTGACATCAAAGTAATACTGAAGTCTAGATTGATTATATAAGTGTTCTATTGCCAGTAAAGGTGGCAGGAATATACGCCAAAGGCTTTGCATTTCGCTCTAAACATTGAGGGACGAATCAAAAGACTCCCCACCCGAGAAAATGCAACGCTACATGACCTCAACCATACACGAATTATTTTACGTATTAGAAAATTCTGAAAGAACGTCACGACATATAAACCTGAAAATTTATGAAAATTGAAGACTGTCGCCCTTGCAGACTGCTCCAAAACTAGCATACACGATATATGGAAACTGGTATAAATGTGCTATACCTAGCGAAGTCGTTGATCAGCCGCCCTTGCAAGCTGTCTGAAACATGTTTTACAACGTGATAGCAGTAACTCCTGCTGTCTTGTCATTATTAAACTGAGTATTACGAAAAAATGGCAACTGCCCTTGCTAACTGCTGAAACAAGCCTTTTAAAAGCGTATAGCACAAAGCGAGTTGCACATGCAACCAGACAATAATTTGATAAACCTAAGAAAAACGTGGGAGAAAGGTATTGTCAGCCCCTGTATGACAACATCGCCCTGCCACCCTTAAAGCCTCCACCAGACAACACCCCGCATTGTTGTCCGGGGGAGGGTTAAACAGCTATAATTTATGACGCTGTAAGGGTTGAAAGTCGAATGTATTTGTGAAATGCATTGGACTTCCAACGACCCAAGACGCGAATCTCCGCATCAGACAAGCCCTGTTCAGCTGCGAATGATGCTGCGCCAATTCGGAAACTGTGAAATAGCATCGTGTGTTATAAATATATATATATATATATATATATATATATATATATATATACAGGGTGTATAAAAAAAAGCGCAATCCTCGACTGAAATGTAAATTGCTAAACAAATAATAGACGAAAACGTTAAAGTTTACATTCATTTTAAAGCGTAGCCATTCAGCTTTCTAACAGTCGGTTGTTTCTTAAATTTGACCCATTGGTTCGCGGGTAATAATACTTTACGTTATTGCGATTGGAGATTAAAAAAATTGAGATGGAATAACAAATCGTTCTCATGAAAATAACTGATTTTTTCATTAAAACAAAAAAATGTTGCATTTTATTAAATGGATTGTAACAATAAGTATAATTACGGCTTTTCTTCCACTATTTTTAACTCAGTTTGAAACTTCAAATGCAATATAATTTTGGCTTGGACCATCCAAGCCGACTGACATCAACTTGCTATAATTTCTGTTTACATTACATCGCAATTCGATGACACTCTGGCTCAGACACCAAAATGTTTTGACGATTTTTAGCATTCGTTTAGGATTTTCAAACAACCTGGTCTCTTTTAAAATACTTTTAATTTGTTCTTACGTGGTTTTCCAGATGTAGTGACGACAACATTAAAGTTTAAAGAAGAAAATTCTAACATTTAAACCGACTAAACAATAACATAGTAAACTAGCATAATTAAACAGCAACTAAAAATGATAGGTTTTACTAAATCTTTTCCTGTGCAATTATTACAAGCATTGGAGACAAGGATAATAGTTTATTTGAAAGAGAAAAGAACAGGCTTTGAAGTAAGCCTAAAAGCGTTTAACTACAGATAGTATTTCGAAAGTTATTAAGCACAAAAGATGAATTGCGTTTATTTTGATACACCCTGTATATATATCATTGTGTGTTTAATTTAGTGTGTGTTAATATGTTTTTAGATAAAATTCATAGATGAAAATAAAGTGTCAAACTTAAGTGTACAGGTAAGCATGCATGCACGTGTCCGTGTTTAAAGATTTATAGAGAATTACCTCATTTGCAAAAAGAATTGAATTGCTGAGGTATCACAAAGATTGCAAAATGAATGATCCCCCATGGATGACTGTATTGACAGTGTAGAAAGTAAATAAGAAGGTGTGAAGTTGTACCACGAGCTCAAGGAACTTTGGGCAAAAGCAAGTATGAAAGCCAGAAAGTATCTAACTCGGCTAAAGTATTAGAAGTAATTCGCCATAAACGACCAGTGCATTTTTTAAAGTGGCACTCTCGTCAAAATGTTTATTTTCTTAATTAAACGAAAATGCTTTTAAAACTGTATACTTACTTGTTTTGAAAATTTTTGTTTCCATGCTTTATTCTTGAGATATTTCATTTTGTTCGTAACCATGTGATGTCATTTACTCAATTACATATATAACTAGAAATACATGCATGCAACAACCCCTCGCCTATATTTTCCAAACATTGTTTCAGCATGAAGTATTCTTAATTATGCAACCAAACTGAACGCAGGCTCGCGTTGCCACGTCATGTTAGTCATGGCAACACGATATTGTTTTTTTAATTTTTTGTACAAACCGGGAAAAAATAGATGAAATTTGAACACTTTTAAATACAGAACTATCAATTTCTAGAATATATAAAGTAGGTATAATATTTTGGTTTCTACGGGCTTTATTTTAATGTAAAATTCAAAACGAAACTCTACGTAAAATGTTTTTAAATGTGAATTGAAATTAACTGCTTTTTGCCGATATATAAAACTTCTCAACTGGAGCTTCAACTTATTACTCGCACTTTGAAATGAAACAAATATAATTTGTACAGGATACCAATGAAAATAATTTGCTTTCCTTTTTATCATTGACTTCTACAAAAGTTAATTTAACTAAGAAACCTTCGCAGACAATGCTTAGGAAAGACTTGAACATTAAAAACAAAGTCTATATTATTAAATACAAAGTCATACATAAACACAAACTTGCCCTATACTTTAGGATTTATCATACAATATCAATTCTTATGAATGTTTACGTTTAAAAATTGCAAAAAAGTTGTGCAATTTGTTATGTGAAACGATTTTCCAAGCTTTCTTACATGTATTTTTTTATATTTTTGCCATCTTCACTCCTGGCAAACAACCATATTCTGAGATCAGTGATGACCACCCATCGTTGGTGAGCGCGCCCGCGATAATTGATGAACTTTAGACTCCGCTAATGCTTTCGTTTCCCCGGGTGTAAATAGCCGGGGGGGGGATTAGTACCCTCGCACGGCGCTTCGCGCCGTCGACTCGGGGACGAGACATCAGTATTTTTTTTGTATCTTTGTTATTTTTATCAAAATCTTTCTCAAGATACGGCGCGTTTGATAATTTAACCTACATCATTAAACATACTGGAGTTTTTAAACAAATCCATAAAAATTAGCAAAGGTACACAACAATTAATGATATCTCATTATATATGTAATTGAGTAAATGACGTCACAGGGTTACAAACAAAATGAAATATCTCAAGAATAAAGCATGGCAGCAAATATATTTAAAACAAGTTTTTATACAGTTTTAAAAGCATTTTCGTTTGAGAAATAAAAATTTTGACGAGAGTGCCACTTTACGCATTCTTCAGTGGTAAGGCACTCTGGATTCCAGAATCTGTACTAATAAAACCACTAATTCTGTTTTGCCATTGGCGCGGTTTAATCAAAGATTCTCCCCGTTGATGGAACTAGAGCCTTCGCGACGTTTCAATTTATTATTTACTGTCGAAGGCTCTGGAATCCAGGGAAGTAGTGGGGCAAAACTGCCAAAAGGCCCAATTTCCTTGCCTCCCCCCCCCCGGATAGTAGGCACGAGTTAGCCAGAGGGGTCTGAAGGCATGCCCCTCAGGAAATTTTTAAAATTTCGGTCTCAGAAATAGCATTTCCTGCATTCTGAAAACACATTTAAAAAAATAGGTAGCCACTGCGTATCCTAATATTAGTTCCACCAAGTGAAGTGCAAAAATCTAAGTTATTATGGTCTGACATTCAGCCTGTTTAATACAACTGAAGTTCACATTGCTCATTGTGACACAAAATTAATAAGCATTCATCACAAAGATTCATTGTGATACAAAATTAATAATTTCAAGAGAATAATGGAAAAAAAAATCCAGATGCGGTATCGTTCATACAACGCCAACAACAATCACTCAATTTAATTAAAAGCAATCATTCATCACAAAGATTCATTGTGATACAAAATTAATAATTACAAGAGAATAATGGAAAAAAAAACCCAGATGCGGTATCGTTCATACAACGCCAACAACAATCACTCAATTTAATTAAAAGCAATGCCAATGGTTGATCGCAATGGTGCAGCCAACAATATCATTGAGTCGCACTTTTGTGTAAATATTGCCAAATGTTTGGTACAAAATAAATGAATACTATTGCTAAACAGGAATTTGTTCCGGTGTCTACATTTCGACAGTTTGTATTTCTGAGTTTGGGATAATAAATAATTAGAAATTTTTCGTGCAGGCACAAGTTGCATCGTTTGGTTTTGTTTGAGTAGCTTTTACACTTTTTCATAATTCTCCATTTAATGGAGTATTTTACGCCAGACTCTTTCAAATGCCAGACATAATTACTTAGTTCAGTAGCATGTTTGTATCTGGAGTTTCTGAAGGAACTAGTGGTGTGACCATTGTACCTTGTTTTGAATTCCCCTTCTGTGTGTCTTACATAGGTCTTGTCCTCTTTTGTATCGTTTCTAGTCACAGTTGCTTGGTAAACAATGCTGCTTGTTAAGCATTTACTGGAGAGAGGACAGGAATCTTTCTTACGGCAATTGCACTCACTACTCTTTTCAGTCGTTTGATTCTTAGTTGTTTTTAGTTTTGTCTTGTTTGTTGAGTATTGTCTTGTTATGACCAGAGACAATACCATGAATGTTAGGCATGCAGCTGTAGCTTAATTTCAAAGTGTTTCGATTAAATATCTTGTGTAGAGGGTGGTTAGGAGGAAAGGAATTGTCGATAGCTTGAAGAAACTTGCATCCAATGTATGTGATGACATTGGAGTTGTATGGGGAGTTGAACCATATTATATTTCTGCTTTAGTCGTAACCGCTTTTATGTAGTGCTTCTTGATATGGGGGAATGGCGGAATCAAGTGATTGCTTATCCGATGATATGTTGGATAGTCTGTTGTTTATGGCTTGCAGTATCGACCGTAATATTGATGGTGGGTAGTTACTTTCGCGGTTTACGTATTGCGGTGTGTTCCCGGGTTTCGTATATATATATATATATATATATATATATATATATATATATATATATATATATATATATATATATATATATATATATATATTGTTGGGTAATACTAGACGTGATGTTAATGTAAACGTATAGTTAATAGTCTAGTAGGTTTGTAAGCTTGGTATATATATATATATATATATATATATATGTTGGGTAATACTAGACGTGATGTTAATGTAAACGTATAGTTAATAGTCTAGTAGGTTTGTAAGCTTGGTATATGATGAAGAGGTCACGGGTTCGATCCCCGCTCGGGGACTCTGAAGTATTTTTTGAGCAATAAAGCTAGGGAACAACTTTCACACATATATATAATTTCGCTTACCTCAAAACTCCGCAACAGTCTGTTTCATCAATAAAGAATCATCAGGCGGTATGACAAGTTTCGAAAATAGGGCTGCTTTTATGTGTTTTTGCCGAAACGTGGGGGGGGGTGTGGGTGAAACAAAAGCATGCATTCATCTATTGTATGCGTTGTTTACCCGGAAATACCTAATCGATTTGTGGGAGTGTATTGTTTGCGTTGTTTACGCGAAATTTCTTCCTATGTCTGCACGTAGATATAATTTCCATTTTTTTATTGAGTAAACAGGTTTGGTTTTCTTTCAAAATACAAAACTTTTCCTCTAAACATAAGTTACATCGTTTTAATTCTCCCGTATACAAAATATGTTTACTCAATAAAAGAATGGAAATTATATCTACGTGCAGACATAGGAAGAAATTTCGCGTAAACAACGCAAACAATTCACTCCCACAAATCGATTAGGTATTTCCGCGTAAACAACGCATACAATAGCTAGATGAATGCATGCTTTGTTTCACCCACACACCCCCACGTTTCGGCAAAAACACATAAAAGCAACCCTATTTTCGAAACTTGTCATACCGCCTGATGATTCTTTAATGATCAAACAGACTGTTGCGGAATTTTGAGGTAAGCGAAATTCTACATTTGCTCTATCTTTATGATATTGAGCACTCTTTGCGTTTCGTATACACAAACCTACTCGTATATATATATGTATGTATATATATATATATATATATATAGTACAATCTGCAGACATGCATGTTTCGGCGTTCAACGCCTCGTCAGTGCAGCTTGGTACACGTCTAGATACGTGAGACACTCGTATTTATACCCCATGAACTTGCTCTCACCAAGGCATGTGGTACAACACGGTGACTCAACGCATCCAGACATGCGCAGAGCGTAATGGAGCCAGAGTGCTCAAACGACCACAAGGGAAGTGAGCTTTGCATTATTATTATTATATATATATATATATATATATATATATATATATATATATATATATATATATATATATATATATATATATATATATATATATATATATATATATATATATATATATATATATATATATATATATA